CCGCCATTCCACTGGGAACAGGGCGCAGCTCTCTCCCTCCAGGGGACCACCTGTCCCTCCCCGTGACCCCTCCCCACACCACACGCAGCTGGTGCCGAATGCCCTCCCAGCTCAGCCCAGCCCTGCCCATCCTGCCCATCCCTACCCATCCTGCCCAGCCCTGCCTATCTCTACCCATCTCTGCCCATTCTGCCCATCCCTGCCCATTCTGCCCATCCCTACCCATCCCTGCCCATCCCTGCCCATCCCTGCCTATCCCTGCCCATCCCTATCCATCCCTGCCTATCCTGCCCATCTCTACCCATCCCTGCCTGGCCCTGCCCACAAGCTCCAGCGACCTTTGACCTCCGTACCGAGGCTGAGGAACTGGAAGACCCTCCGCATGGTGGACTTGACGTCGGACGCGTGGTCCTCCAGGCGCAGGACGAGGAGCTGCTCTCTGTGGAAGACGGCGAGCCAGTCCAGGAGGTACACGGCGTACAGCCCCACCTGCAGCCGCACCTGGGTGGGAGGAAGGCCTGTTCCAGGGCAGCTCCCGGCCGGCACCGCCCGGGGGCGTGACATCGGGGGCCAAGCCCCAAGAGGGCCTGGCGCGCAAGCGACCTCGGACGCTGGATTTAAATGCCGCGCGTTCGTTTTTCTAGATGTGTATAGGATATTCTCTTTTTCTTTTTTTTAGATATATTGTTATTTCAGACCAGCTGCCTCCTGCATGCCTACTGGGGATCGAGCCCACAACCCAGGCCTGTGCTCCGACCAGAAATCGAACCCACGACCTGACTCATAGGTCGACGCTCAACCCTGGAGTCACACCCGCCGGGCACACCACACATTCCTGCAAGACTCCCACTTAGGGGGCGCTTCATCCTCGTGAGGACCCTGTGGCGGCTCCACGGCACGGTCACGCCCTGGTCGGGCACACGCAGGGTGCGGGTTCCAGCTCTGGTTGGGGTGCGCATGGGAGGCAACTGCTCAGTATCTCTCTCCCTCTCCTTTCCCCTCTCTCTAAAATCAACAAAAACACATTTAAAACAATAGGAAGCAGCTGCCTCCTGCCTCGGATCTCTGCCCTCAGGAGCCCCAGGGAAGGTGGGAGCCCCTGAGGTCCAAGGCCGTGGGCCCCAGGCTGCAGCCTGAGCCTGCCCGGGACCAGCCACGCTGCTTGGGGTGCCGGGGACCCTCTGTGCCTTCCCCGTAAGGCGGTTGGGTCTCAGGGCCCCTGGAGGACTGAGCAAGGGGGTGCCCTGGAGGAACCAGGAAGGTGCCAGTTCAGTAATGAATGAGCGCGAATCCCGTCCCCTCCCAGGATCGGGGATTTCAAAACGTTTGATCTCAAAAACCAGCTGCACAAGCGCGCTCCTTTCCCACCACGCCCATGACCTTGTCCCCGTGACCTTGTCCCCTAGCCTCCGCATGTTTTCCTTCACAGCTGCAGGGCCAACGGGGAAGCTGGAAGCTGGAGGGAGGGCACGCCCTGGCCTCGCCGTGGGAGGAAGTGGCTGCGGGCAGCCTGCCTTCAGGGGGCATTAAAGACAGGCCAGCCTTGGCTGGGCAGGCAGCCCAGTGGTTAGAGGGTCATCCCGTACACCAAGGGCGCAGGTTCGATCCCCGGTCAGGGCGCATACAAGAAGCACCTAATGAATGCATTAAAAAGTGGAGCAACAAATCGATGTTTCCATCTCTCTCTCTCTCTCTCTCTCTCTCTCAAATCAGCAAATAAAAATTCAAAATAAAATAATGACAGACAACAGGCACACTCAGCTTGCTCTGTCCTGTGGCCAATGCACTGCTCTTTTGTTAAGACGCTTTATAAGCCAGAGTTATAACCACCCCTTTGAGTTACTCGCCACTGGGCGCTCCCATGTGGGTGTGCAACGAACGTGTCCGCCAACTTCTGTTTGTTTTTCTCGCACGAATCGGCCTTTCATCAGTCTACGTGACGGCCCCAACCAATGGATGAACTACCACTCTAAGCCTTACAGCAGCCTGGAAAAGTGGTATCTATCTCTCCCTCTCCCTTCCCCTCTGAAATCATTTAAAAACACACACATAAACCCTGCCCCCCATGTGTATGCTGAAACCCCCCGACACCACCCGCAGCAGCAGGGCCCTGGGCCGGGCTGGGTCGCACGCACCGGCATGGCGTTGTTGAGGCTGTTGTTGTAGACGCAGGCGCGCAGCGAGTAGTCCAGCAGGCAGCTCTCGAACAGCTGCAGCGCCTCCGTCACCTTCTCGTGGAAGTCCTCCACAGACTTGTTGGAGCTGGCGAAGTACAGGTAGTCCGAGTACAGCCTGGAAGCAAAGTCGACAGCGTGTCACCCCCAGAGCAGGGGGCCGCCCTCTGGGTGACCGTGAAACCAGCGTGCAATGACCGTGCGGAGTTTCATTCCTTAAAGCTCGACCGTTTCTCTTTGTTCCTGCCGGTGAGCCATTTTCCTACTCCCCTTTTTAAAATACCTCGCCCCCCCACCCCACGAGAAGTAGGTGGACGGGACATAGGAATGTCTGCAGTAAGCGATGCCAGGACTTCCCCACAACTACCTCCAGGGAAACAGAGTCAGTGACCACCTTGCAGGAGGGAAAGCCACTTGCTGGGTTAAAACGACTCAGAAAACATTGAGGACAGCGAACGTATCGAGAACAAGTACCCAGCCCAGCCAGTGCTGAGTGTCAACCCATGAACCAGGAGGTCAGGGTTCGATTCCCAGTCAGGGCACAGGCCCAGGTTGTGGGCTTGATCCCCAGTGTGGGGCGTGCAGGAGGCAGCCAGTCCATGATTCTCTCTTATCATTGAGGTTTCTCTCTCTCTCTCTCCCTCTCCCTTCCTCTCTGACATCAATTTAAAAAAAACAAAAACAACATATTAAAAAGAAGAAGTATCCAAATGGACCTCACAGACTGGAGTGGGCGCACCCATAAAAAGACCGGACGTAAGGAGACCCCTGAACGTCAACATTTTAGTCTTTCAA